TAGTCTGTCTTGATCTGAATGTTCAGATTTAGAGGAGTATCTGACAGACAGCAATTTGTGGAGCAGTTAAAGATAAATCCCTTATTGTGGGGGTAAGCATTAGTTAAAGTGTTGACCCCCCTCATAGCTCAGTGCCTTGACCCACTTACTGTCCCCAGCTCCACCCTCCACCAGGATAACCCTTCTCATCTACCAAGTCCCTTCAGAAAATATCTTCCCTTGTCCAACCCATGATCTGACAGTTTGTATCTTAAGCTTTCTTGGCTTCTGTGATTCCAAAAACGTCAACTGCTGACATTTTCCTTTTGACCAGTGTCTCTTAAGTTTAGTTGTACTGTCTCCAAGGGAAGGTGACGTGTCCTGTAGAACTCCTGAGTGGGTACCTTTGAAAAACTCCTCTTCGTCACTTGTCTGATCTGGCTTCCTTGTGCCCGTTCTCAGCCTCCCTTCCGCCCAGGAGCACGCCGGAAATCCTGGGTACCTTTGAAAAACGCCTCTTTGTTGCTTGTCTGATCTGGCTTCCTTGTGCCCACTCTCAGACTCCCTTCCGCCCAGGAGCACACCAGAAATCCTGGGTACCTTTGAAAAACGCCTCTTCGTCGCTTGATTAGCCATTGTAATTAACCACTTAATTCTTAATTAACGTTATGGGAAGCTGGAGGGAGCACAGCCCACAGCAGTGCTTTGCTGGTATTTTAAACCCACTAACACGAACAAGAGCAGCTTCAAATCAAAACCTCCAGTAAAGTGTTAAAGTGGGCCCCACTTCCCCTTCATATCAATGTCCCTATTCAGCATGAAGTAACCAGAAGAGTCTGAGCTCCTATTCCCAAATGGGAAACCCACAAATAAAAAAGACAATCTCTTTGTAAAGATAAAGAAATATTAATCACCATTGGACTATGCCCACCATTACCCTGTCTTTTCTGGTCCCCAACAGATCTTTCTCACTTCTGTTACCCTCTCCCTCCACCAGCAATTTGTGCAACCTTATGATTTCATCCCAACCAGCCTCACCCTTCTGTTTCCACCCCTTACCCCCTTGGATCCCCATACATGTTTGAAACAATAAATAAAAATAAAAAACAATCTACTAACACTTATTCAGAGAGTGATCTGTTCTTTCAGCAGTCCATAGGACATTTAATAGTCATCTCCAGCATCAGATCTCAAGGGTATCATTCCTTTGTCTACCTCATGCACTGTCCAAGTTCCCAATGCACAGGAAGCAAGTCAAAATACCATGGCTTAGATCAGGTGGCTGTTGGTCTTTAAATGGACATTACTGTTCTTCAGCACTTTGGAGTGGTAGACTGCAGATTTCCCAAGGCAACAAGTCTTATGGTTTCCTGACTGCTGCTACCATGGGTGTAGACTGTGGATCCAAGTAAAATGAAATCATTGTCAACTTCAATCTATCTTCTATCTAACATGATATTGTATATTGGTGCACTGATGAAGATTTCTGTTTTCTTGATGTTGAGATGTAACCCATAGTGAAGGCTGTAGTCTTTGATATTCTATAGTAAATGCTTTGAGTCCTCCTCACTTTCAGATAGCAAGGTTCTGTCATCTGCATAATGCAGGTTGTTGATGAATCTTCTTCCAATCCTGATGTCATGATCTTCTTCATACAGTCTAGCTTCTTGAATGACTTCATCAGTGTATAGACTAAATAGGTATGGAGAAAGGATGCAGCCCTGCTCTTCCTGATCTTAAACCATGCATGGCCTGAACCTTGCTCTGGTCAAGACAACTGCTTCTTGATGTATGTACAGGTTTCACATAAGCACAATTAACTGTTCTCAGATTCTCATTCTTCTCAATGTTACTCATAATTTATTATGAGCCACAGAGCTAGATAGTTTTGAATAGTCAATAAAGCACAAGTAAACATCTTTCGGTTATTCTTTGTTTTCCAGTAAGATCTTCCCAGTTTTGCTGTAAAATCCCACATCCCAAGGCCTCTTCTGAATCCAGACTGAATTTCTAGCAGTTCCCTGCTGCCCTAGCTGTTGTTTAATAATCATCATCAAGCTGTTAATTGCATGTAACATTACTGATGTTGTTCAATAATTTCCACACTCTGTTGAATCACTTTTTTGGGGAACAGAAACAAATATACATCTTTTCTAGTCATCTGGCCAAGGAACTGTCTTCCAAATTTGTTTACATAGACTGAGGAGAATGCCCGGGGCTGTATTCGTTTCCTAAAACACCGCAATTGGTATTCCATCAATTCCTGGGGATTTACTTTTTACCAATGCCTTCAGTCCAGCTTGGACTTCTCCCTACATTGCTACTGGTTCTTGATCATATACTACTTTCTGAAATGGTTTATTGTCAAGTAAAGTATTTAATGTCAGCCAACCAAAGATTGTACTTTCATTACTGTTGTTGTTAGGTGCTGTTGAGGTGAGTACTCAACTCATAGGAAGCCTGTAAACAGCCAGCCTGAACAGCCTGGCCTATCGTGTGCCATCCTCAACATCTCTGAGACATTAGAGCCCATTGCTGAGGTCACAGTGTCAATCCATCTCATTGGAGGTCTTCCTCTCTTTTGCTGACCCTACGTCTTTCCAAGCATTATATTCCTCTCCAAAAAAATAGCATCCCTTAGCTACATGTCCAAAGTATGAAAGATGAAGCTTTCCTTGCCTTCAAGGTGCTCTAGCCTCAACCTTCCCAGGAAGTATCTGTTCATTTTTTTAGCAGTCTATGGGACAGTCAGTACTCTTCTCTAGCACCACAATTCAATGTCATCAATTCTTCTTCTGTAATCCTTATTCATGCCAGCTCTCCAATGCTTAGAAGGTGACTGAGAAGACCATGGCCTATATCAAGCCTGTTAGTCTTCAAATTGACATCACTGTTGTTCAGTATTTTGAGAGGCCCCGACAGTAGACAGTACTTTGGAGAGGTTCCTGACTGGATCCAGAGATTATACCTTTAGGTGTTACTTTTTTTATGGATTAGGTTAAGTAAAAAATAATGTTGTAATTAATTTAAATTGTTTCTCTTATTTTAATGTGTATGCAATGCAGAGCTGACTTAATGCTAGACTAGAAAAAATTTATGTTCATCTCTAAAGATATCTAGATGTCCAGCTTTTGACTCTTGACCAAAATAAAACAATGGAATTTTTTATTGTTGTTTAAAATCTCAAAGTTCCCAGCTGATATCCAGATTCGGTTTCCTAACTAATAATCTACAGTTGGCTTAAGCAATTAAGTCATCCTGCTTGATTATATCACCAGAGAAGCATATACATTCTGCTGGGAACTTCTGCTTTGAGTTTTCCTTAAGCCTACATTTTCTTTCTCAAGTAAGAGAGAAAGCATGGCCACTCTGTATATAAAGATCTCAGTGAGCACGTGCGTCGGATATCTCAGCCCCAATGCCTGTCTACACATTGCATTGCCATACCACATTGAAACTGGGAGAATCTTTATCATGTAGCTACTAAGAAATTTAAAAGTATACATTTACATCACATTGCATTTCTATTGAGCAGCACTGCTTTAAATGCGGTCATGTTCTGTCCCTTACATGTAAAAGGAGGAAAACAAAGATCAAGTAACTGCAGCTAGGATGTTACCCGTAAACTGCACAGGCCTTCTAGAAACTTCTTTGGATAATTCTTACTCTTGTAGGTTGATGGATCATTCTTTAAAAGCAAAACTGAAAACTGTCCAACAGGTTCTAAGATCTCAGGGCTAAATTCACCTGTCGTTCACAGAACAGTTCAGATGGCTAATGGTTTTCACCGGAACCTGCCAGCTGGCAAAAAGATTACAAAGCAAATACATACAGGAGAGATGAAATCTGATGACAAAAGGGCTTTTGACAATACTGAGGCACTATCAGGCAGGATGAAGATAGTTTTGGGGTGACCCCATTCAATAAGGAGCTGCACTGAGGTGGAAAGGAAAGGAAAGGAAAGAACAGAGATCAAAGCAAAGTCGGCCAAGGAGGCACAGAAAAGCTGGCCAATCACAGTGTACCCTCCAACGTCAAGGGAAGAGGACACAGTTGAGAAGGGAGTGACAACTTTTGTTGAACAATCCAAGTGTTAGACCTAGAAAGTGTTGAGGATTTTGAAAAAAAAAAAATGGTTTCCAATGACCTTGGAAAAATTATTTCAGCTCCCTGCTACTAATGTACATACACCACGAAATTTTTCTATTGAGTAAATAATGAAGACAATGTAGACTTATGACCGTTATAGCCAAGTTGCTATAAACCTGGCAATACTTAAGGAACCAATACATTCATCTATCTGCATCTTATCCCAAGCCCTATTACTGCTTTGAAAACCATTCCCATCTCAATGAGGAGCTCAAAAATTATCAGCCACCTTACCTGGGAAAGGTACAAAGGCATGCCTCATGCTAACAGAAAATGGAATTCCCCTGTCTGAGGCTCTATCCTCCACTGGTGCATGGTGCTCAGAGTTCAGATTACACAGCCTTTTATTTCTTCCCCTGTGGTGAAAATAACATTCTCATGCAGATAGGAAGCAGACTCAGACTTATCAAAAAAACAGTCTGATTTTCTATAAAATCACTATTTCCATCTAAGAAGTTTAGTAACAACCTTATTATCAGAGCTTCACTTTAAAGTTCCCCTTTGACTCACCCCCTCACTTATAGTAAAGTTTCCAAAATAGTAAGTAAATCAAGCTTGAAGATACCTGCACTACTTTTCCGTGGTCACTATTTCAGCAAATGTTCAATTAAACTCTCAGTAAGCTGTTTCTAACAGCTTTTTCCATAAACTAATTCAAAGCGAATTCACTGACAACAAATCTCTTTAGCGTATCTAGTATAATCTCTGTGCTTTTCCTTCTTTGTGTGAGTGTGGGTGGAGAAATTCTTCCCTTTAGAATATCACTTAAATATGCATGCAATACTGACTGATGCAGTTAGTAGTCAAAATTTTCAGCCTTTCACCATCAACTACTAGCTTCTTTATAGAGAGAGAGTCAGAACCTGAAATGTACAGTGCATGAAATGGAAAATTAAACAAATTTCATTATGTTGTCTAACTGATTATCTTTGAGCCATTCAAAGTATATGAAAACAGAGAAGCAGGGTCTACCTGCCCAGAGAAAGTGGGCCTTTGCCCAAAGCTTGGGAAGGTGGGCTTTCCTCCACTCGTGTTGGCATTCTGATCTCAAAATCTTTTGGTACATTCTGAATATTTGGGTCAGTGAAGGTTATTCGTCCTAAAAATCAAACAGAATTAAGAAAACATTAAAACAGGAAAACAAAAAAGTCTTTTCTTTTAACAGTAATTTTCCTTCTGAATTCTCTTAAAAAAATACTCTCTCATTGCTTATTGTTGTTGGTTGCCCTGAGTCAATTCAGACTCACACCAATATCCCTGTGCGGACCAGAACTGTTCCCCTGTCCTCTCAAGGCTGTGACCTTTCAAAAGCAGATTGCCAGGCCTGGCTTCCAAAGTGTCTAAGAGAGAATTTGAATCAATAAACTTTCAGCTAGCAATTGAGCACCTAACCATTTGCAACATTGCTAAACTAAAACAACAACAACAAAAAAATGCTATTTAAACAGTTTTACCATTTTAAAGCACATAAAAATGATAAAATAAGTACAGAATCAATCCCAACATAAAAACATGTATGAATCGGTTATAATACTTTGTTTTATGCTAACTTGATATTGTTGTTAAGTGTTGTCGAGTCACTTGCAACTCATAGCAACCCTATGTCCAACAGCTCTGAACCCTGCTTTATCCTGAGCCAACCTCACCGTGTCCGACACACCCACACCCACTACCCCAGTCCCTCAGTCAATCCATCTCATCCAGGATCTTTCTTTCTTGTGCTGTCCCTCCACCCTCCCAAGCATGATGTTCCTTTCCAAAGACTGGCCCCTCCTTGCAACATGCCCAAAGAATGTCACAAAACAATTCCATGGTAAGAATTTGATAAATTATTGCTAAGCTCTAGATCTGAGCATTACGAAACATATCAGCAACTATGCTAGGCACAGATGCAATTACAAGCCTCATCAGATAGAGAAACAATTTGATTTCTGAAGACTGAAAATCAAGAATGCACAAAATAGAGAAAAGAGGATCTAAACAAGAAAAACTGAGTAATGATGAAAACAGCTGAGACGCGAGAATTAGCCAATGCTAGAGACACTTTGAGATGTGGCCTCTGGAACTTTTTTTTTAAGACATTACCTCTCTGTTCTCCCCATCATCACCATCTCTTATCATGAGAATCAATAACTACACTGACATGGGTGGAAACGGGAACTAGCTAGTTAGTGAAATTTCTAGTCAACAATGATTTGCTAACACTGATAGCCTATATTTCCTGCCCTCCTCCATTTTCTTTTAAATATTTTGTGTTTATTTATTGGGTGAATTTTTTTCTCAAACACGTAAGTACTGTGGGGGGTGGGGCGGGAAGGCTTCTCTTACTAATTTTGTTACTCAAATTTTTATGACATGTATTTAGTGGCACTAAAACCCTCTTTTTATGTTATTTTATTAATAGCCCTCTTTTTAAATCTATTCTATAAAATTTCATCTTTTTTAAATGTATCAGGCATTTTGCATACTGGGACATTGTTTTTTGTTGATAAATCCCTAATATCTTTTTCTTACTTAGCATTCAGTATAAAATAAATGTTCAACATTACTAGAATTATTATCATCAAATACCCTGTTTAATGATAGACCTAACCAATAGTAGAAGGTGCCTAAGGTTTTTACTCCCTCAACATACTGTCTTCTTTTCCATGACTATTCAGTATAATGTCTAGACTTCTGATTAGATTAACATGAGCAGCTAAAGACACTAATAAAGAAATTACATCTCTGTAAATTGTTACTGAAATATATTTAAATTAAAAAAGAAATTACAAAACACAAGAATAGCTTCATGACGAAGATTACTTTGATTAATGAAATAACAATGTTATGGGCTTTTAACATCAGAAAGAATAGCAGGTCTTCATGGTGCGTCCTTCTTAATAACAGCAATAACTGATACTTTGCATTTTCTAAATGCCACTCATTAACTACCTTCATCCTTTAACACGTAATCTATTTACTCTTCAGAATGATCTGGGGAACTAGAGCTGTTATTATACATGAAGAAGCATAACTGTCTTATGCTAAGAGGTTAACTATCTTGCCTCAAGATTCCCAGTACAAGGGATCAAAGCTTGTTAACAGTATTATTTCAAAGACAACAATCTATGTAAAAAATCTTAACTGCCTCTCTTATAACAAAGTAACATGATCCCTTCTTTCACTCCATTGTGTTTGGCAAACATTTGAGCCTTGGACTTCCTAGTAAAAAATATATAATAAGTCTTGTTGGCAAAAGAGTTAGGTGATCTAACCATCAGCTTCCCGTGGAAGAAAATGTGGTCATCTACTCACATAGAGAACAGCCTTGAACATCCGACGGGGAGTTCTATCATTATAGAGTTGTCGGAAATGGAAATTAACTTGACAACCCGACAGGGGAAGAACAATTTTTCCTCACCAGAATACCTTATATTTAACCCACAAGACCTATGAGACACCCAAAATAGTTTCAGTCACCTTTTTCTGCCTGCGTAGGATAGAATGTTCACGTAAACAAAAAAAATTAGAAAAAAAAAATCTTTCAAAGTTGGATACATTCATACTTTAGATTGCTCATTACCTGTAGCAGTGTGTGACTGCGATACTGGATAGATCCTTTCCATTCGAAGAAAAGGATTCAGACGTTTTTCTCGCCGCAAGGGAAAGACCACTTTGGTAATAGCGTTACTGATTCTTCTCCACTCTAATATCAAGCCAGGTAATGGATGCAGTGCCTTTAATTTATTTAAAACATCCTATAAAAAAATACAATAAGGTAAGATTGGATTCTTGCCAAAATTCCACAGCAAACTAGAATCTCTTAGAGCTAAATATCACTCCTTGATTGCTGCTGAGCTGAAAATGACTCATAGCTGGCCCATCACTGGGTTTGTAGAGGCTCTGAATTTCACAAGGAGACCGCTCCTCTCCTGCAGAGCCTCTGGTGGGGCCGACGGCTGGCTTCTGCTTGGAAGCACAACCCTTACCCACCGGGCCACACAGGATGAGATAAACCTTGCATTGACAACTCAACATCACCGTTTGAGTTTTGCTGAAAATCATGATAATGATAAAATGATGACAACTATAATGTATAAAATGCATACATATTAATGCCAAGTAATGTTGTTGTTTTTATGTGCTGTTGAGTCGCCTGTGACCCATACTGACCCCATGCACAGCAGCTCTGAACCAGGCCCTGTCCTGAGCCTGTCTCACTAATTCCGACACAGTAACCCCCATGGCCCCAGTCACTGAAAACTCGGGCGGCATAGTCTGCAGGGAGCTGTGCTAACTGAAGACCACCTTTTTGGCAGTTTGAACTCAACATTAAGCCTATGGACGAAAGATGGGCAATCTTCTCCCTTGCTATTGACATCCTCAGAAACCTCTCTAGTTGATGGATCTAGTTGATGGCAATGAGAGAATTTTAAAGAAAGCAAAATAGGAGCTCTGGTGGCCTAGTGGCAAGAAGCTGCGCTGTAATCCCGAAGGCGCACTGTTCAAATACACCAGATGCCTTATCGGAGCAGAAGGGGCAATGTCCTTCTGTACCAGTCAGATCCAATTCAACGGTACACACAAAAATAATAAAAAATTAAAAATAAGTAAATAAAGCAAAATAAAATGTCTAATGAGCAAAGTTGTCTCTCTGCTCTTCACCTAAGTGTTCACATCATCTATTTTCTGTCCTTGTGTATTTTCCTCTTCCACTGCTCACATATAAGACATTTCCAGTTTGAGATGGTTTGAGGGTTTTTTAAAATATCTTGCCTTAATAGGAGTGCTGATGACATAGTCTACAGGGAGTCACACTGCTAAGTTGGCCACACCTCTTGCTAAGTTGGCCACACCTCTCTGCGCAAATCCAGAGCAACTCTTCAGGAGAAAGATGGGTAATTTCCCATGGATTTACAGCCTCAAAAACCCCTCTGGAGAGTCAGCTACGAGTCAGTTCCAATTCAGTGATAATTAATGAGTCACCAAGGCAATGCCCTGATACTTTCACAGTTCCATATTAAGGAGAGAAGAAAACACTGATTTGTTAAACATTTCTAATTTTCTCTGTTATGTGTTGGAGAAGGTGCAGTCGGTGTGCTCTTTGGAGGCAAGAATGACGAGGCTTCGCCTCACATACTTTGGACATGTTGCTAGGAGGGGCTATTCCATGGAGAGGGACATGGTGCTGGGAAGGGTAGAGGGTCGGTAGAGAAGAGGAAGATCATCAACCAGGTGCACTGATGTGGTAACTGCTGTAATAGGCTCTAGTGTGTCAGGAAGTGTGAGGATGGCACAAGATAGAACAGGGTTCAGATCTTTTGTTCATAAGGTCACTATAAGTCCTACTTGACAGCACCTAACAACAACACTTAACAAATCCTTAAAAAAAAAACCAAAAACAATTTATAGGGTAAAAGTACCAATGATATAACAATAGGTGTCCTAGAGTCTCTGGTGGCCTAGTGGGTAAGGAGTTGTGCTGCCAACCCAAAGGCAAGTTGTTCAAATCCACCAGCTGCTCTGTGGAAGGAAGATGGTCACTTTCCTCTCTTTGTGATTTACAGACTTTCAAAACACACTAGAAGGTCAGTTCATAATTTGTTCATAATTAGTTGGAGTTATAGCCTGGGGATGAAGAAAGTCCCAGAGGGTAGATAAAACTCAAAAGCTCAAAGGGTAGATTTCCAATAAGTCAGAACAGACTTACAGCTGAGACTCACCACTGGGTTTCTCAGGCTATAAATAGCATGGGAGGAGAGTGACTATCTTTCTTTCAAGGAATCACTGGTAGATTCTAACTGCTAGAGAGAAGTGGTCTTTGGGTTAGAAGCTCAGTTTCCTACAGACTCGAGTTCCCAAACAGGAAACAAGTCACAGCTAATAGTAACAGGGTCAAAGCATAGAGAACAGCACTCCCTCCAGGGCAGCAGTAGCTCCTTGCACTTCTCCATTGAAGTTTTAGTGGGAAAAAAGCCCTCTTCTTACCTACAACTGAACATTATTATGAAAAGTGATTAAAAGCTTAAAACTGGGGAGAAGAAAAAGTTTTATCTGTATTGACTCCCATTCTTATTTCTGTTTTTAATTCACATTGCTTCACACAGACTATGTTATACTGGAAGCCTAAGGATTGTTAATGGCAAAAATTAAATAGCTTCCACAGATCTGACTTCACAAACCTTTATACTGTTGTTATAATAGGAAGGACAAGATTACTAAATCAGATTATGATCTAAATTTTCCACATTGGAATATTGGCTACCAAATAAAAAAATCAATTTGCTTTAATCTGGAAGAGCATATGGTGCAAGACAGCCTGTACTGGAGGTTGATCTCACTAGTAAACATCAAGATGTTAACAGCAGTTCAATGTCTGCCCTATTGGTAGCACCTTACTAGTGCTGAGCTGTTTTCCCAACTTTCGGATGCGTCCATTGTCACGCCCTCTTCTGGTCGAGCCCAAAGTTTTCTTGTTGCCTTGGTTTTTCATCTCTCCATTTGGTGGTAACTTCAACTCCAAAAATAAAACCTGTAAGAAAGGAATGCTTCTTTAGTCAATAATCACATCACAGGTTTGGCAGCTCTGATGGTGTAGTTCACAGAGAGTGGTACAGCTAACCAAAAATGTTGCCTTTCTGGTGGTTTAAATCCACCAGCAGCTCCACAGGAGAAAGATGGGCAACGTCCTCCAGCACAGTGCATAGCCTCTGAAAACTCACTGAAGTGTCAGTTATGAGTCAGTTCTGACTAAATGGCAATGAGTTGAGTTCATTAAGTCAATAACAAAATACTTCAAAAGTTATTTGATAATTTTTCTTTTGCTTTTCAAAGAGAGGAGTGTACTGGGAGGAGGGGTGGGCAGGGAGAAAAGTGCAACAATGAGTGAATGGAAATCCAAAGTCTCTAAATTTTCATTGAAATTAATAAGAAAAAAAAATTTTAAAGTTATTTGAATGAAAAAATTCTATGGTTCAATGTGGATTAGAAAAAAAACATTTGCTTTGTTTTGTTCTTTGGGGGGGTGGTTCTTCTTATACACCATCGAGTCAACTATGACTCATAGCAACCCTATGCTCAATAGCTCTGAAACCTGCTCTATCCTAAACCAATCTCACTGTCTCTGACACACCTATCCTCATTACCCCAGTTACTTGTCTATCTGGGTCTTCCTCTCCTGCTCTGTCTCTGCACCCTTCTAAGCATGATATCCTTCTCCAAAGACTGGTCCCTCCTGGCTACAAGCCCAAAGTATGTGAGACAGAGCTTCAATTCTTGTCTCCAAGAAGCAGCCTGGTTTCACTCTCTTGAGAACAGACCCATTTGTTCTCCTGGCAGTCCATGGTATGTTCAATATTCTCTCCAGCACCAAAGCTCAAAGATATCAATTCTTCTGTCATCCTTAGTCATTGTCCAGCTCTCTAATGCATAGCACATAACTATAAAGACCACGTCCTGGATAAGTTGCACCATAGTCTCTAGACTGACATCCCCGCTCTTCAATTCTCTGGAGAGGTCCCTGACAGCAGAATTTCCTAATGCAATTTGTCCTTTGATTTCCTGACAGCTGGTGCCAAAAGTGATGACTGTGGAACCAAGGGACCTAAAATTATTAACAATCTCAATCTCTTCTCCATCTATCACACGGTTTCCAATTGGCCCAGTGGTGAGAATCTTCATTTTCTGGATGTTGAGCTTCAATCCATATTGCAAACTACGTCCTTGACCCTCTATAGCAGATGCTTCAGGCCCTACTGAGTTTCAGCAAGTAAGGCTGTATCATCTGCATAACGCAGGTTATTGATGAGTCTTGCTCCAATCCTGATGTCATATTTCTCCCCACAAAGTCCAGCCTCTTGAACGACCTGATCTGCATACAGATTGAAAAAGTATGGAGACAGGACATATCCCTAACACACTCCTTTCCCAATTTTGAACCATGTGGTGTTTTCATGATCTTTTCTGATGACTGCCTCCTGATACAAGTATGGTTTTCACACAAGCACAATCAGGTGTTCTGGGATTCCCATTCTTCTTTTGCTTAGCTACAATTTCTTGTGATCCACTTAATCAAATTTCTTTGCACAGTCAATGAAACACAGATATGTATTTCTCTTACTCTCTGCTTTTAGCTAAGATCTGACATTAACAAGATGTTCCTCTTCTAAACCCAGGTTGTATTTCTTGTAGTTCTCTGTCAATGTACTGTTCCAGTCACTTTTGGATAATCTTCAGGAGGATTTTGCTTCTGTGTGATATTAGTGATATCATTCAATAATTTTCATACTCTGCTGGATCACCTTTTTAATTGGAATGGGAATAAACATGGATCTCTTCCAGTCAGTTGGCCAGGTGGTTGTCCTCCAGATTTCTTGGCACAGCCTGGTGAGCACTTCCAGGGCTGCATCTGTTTGTTGAAGTATGTCAATTAGTGTTCCATCAATTCCTGAGGCCTTGTTTTTGCTGATTCCTTCAGAGAAGCTTGGACTTCCTCCTTCATCACCATTGTCTCTTGAATATAAGTTGTTTCATGACAGTTTGTAATTATCATATTTAATACATGTTGTTACAGCCTGTCAAGTCAGAACTGACCTAGAGATGACCCTCAGTGGGTTTTCAGAGGCTGTAAATCTCACAGGAGATTGTCCATCTTGCTCCCACAAAGTAACTGGTAGATTCAAACTGTGTGCCTTTGGGTTGCCAGTGCAATTTCTTATGATTAAACTACCATCAGCAGGGTAGGTTGTCCATACCTTAATTTTGGCACTCTCATAACAACACTATTACCAGGCATTTAAACAATCAAAAGCAAGGAATGTATTCAGTGTGCTGAGCAATTGGTGAACAAGTCATTGAAAATTAAACTTTGGTGGCTCTGAGGATTGTAACACTACTAAGTAATCCCTGAATTGGTAACAACATGCTACACAATCATTTAAGTTCTGCAGAAGGTCAACATTATGTACACTATGGAAACATACATGGCTATTGTATGATCACAATACAAAAAAAAAACAGTAAAAATAGAAGGGGCTTAAAAAGTTACCTCATCCCACCACCATAGGAATGAAACCAGAGTTCCCGGAAGCAAAGTTAGAAGGTTGACAACCAGTAGAACAACAAAAGGCCAACAAAGGGCAGGGATCCTGTATTAGCTGTAAAGGAAGACCTAATACAAATCTAAAACTCACTAGTTTAAGTTGTGTTATAACACAGGAAATTCAGGATACTGTATCTGATATATATTTGCACAGATGTAAGAATTTGTCAATATACTGGCCTGAGAATGAAAGAAAGGATATGTCAGTGCTTCCTTCCAAAGGCCAGTAGTGACAAAGGTAAAATTACAGTATCAATCTGTGTGAATAACTGAGACCTTAGTAATGAAAGCTTTTAAGGTCTATCAGAGAGTCCTGACAACTAATGGTAAGAAGTTACATTGCCCCTCCCAAAAGGCATGTTGTTTGAATCAACCAGCTGCTCTGTAGGAGAAAGATGGTAATGTTATGCTGTGTGATTTACAGTCTCTGAAAACCAACTATGAGGGTGAGCTACTGAGTCAGTTCAAACTTAACAACACATAACAACAACAACATGGCAGCACAATATGGAACTCTGGTGGCTTATTCCCTAGAGAGGGAGCTAAAGAGGCAAGTTAACAATAGCATTATAAAGATAAGGAATTGTCAACAACCTACACAGACACAACAGAAACTGTCTCACGCATACTAAAGGAGTTTCACATAATGTTAAGGAAGCAGCAGGCAGCCTCAAATAGTAGGGGAAAAAATCCACAAACAACCAAGCCTTCTCCTAAAAAAAGCAGATCAGTCTATGAACACCTTGTATAGTCCAGACGGTGGCAGAAGAAATACATCAATGTGGAGTTATATGTACTGATGCTGAAAAAGTTACATATGGTAAAAGAAAGAATTGACACTTTAAATAAAGAGGTACAAGAATTTTTAAAATCATCACAAGACAGGATAACAAAAGAGTACTAGAAACAACAGAAAATTCAATCCAGAATATCAACACAGAAATGACAGAATTTTCCAACATGCTGGAGGGACAAAAACATCAGAATACAAGAGCTGGTACTCTAAATGATGAGAGACATTTCTCTGGTAACAAACTGTAGAAATCATCCCTGAAAGTAGAGTCTAAAATACAAGAGATGGAAGAGAGAATCAGCAAGACAGAAGACTCTCAATGGGTACTTACTAGAAGAAAAAACAGGGGAAATGAAGAAAGCATTAGAATCATGTGGAATCAAAATCAAATGGAACAGCCTAAATGTGACTGGAATTCCAGAACAAAAGGAGAGGAAAAAGCACTGAAAAAATTACAGAAGAAGTACTAGAAGAAAACTTCCCACGTATCACGAAAAATAAGAAAATCCACATTCAAGAAGCTCAGCAAACTCCAAACAACCTATAACTCAAAAGAAACACATCAAGACTCCTTATAGTCAAATTCTCTAAAATCAAAGATGATAGAATACGAAAAGCTATGTGAGAAAAATCCACCTACAAAGAAGAAAAAATTAGATTAAGCTCTCTCTGACTGCTTAGCAGAAACCATGTGAGCAAGAAGACAATGGGATGGCATATACAGAGGACAGAAAGAAAATTATTGCCAGTCAAAGCCAAGGATCCTTGACCCAGCAAAGCTGTTCATCAAATATTAAGGAGGAATTGGGTCACTGGCAGAAAAGCAAGACTTTAATAAATTCATGAAAACAAGACCAACCATACAAAAAATTCAACACAAAGTTCTTCACACAGATAAACCAAAGGAAAGTGGATGGACCAAAGTAACCAGAAACCACAGAAACAGAAACACAGCAAAATGTCAGTGATGAAACCTAGCCTGTCAAAATTGCACTTAATGGTTTAAAGGCATCAATTAAAAGAAAAAAAGAGTAGCTGAAAGGATAAAAATAAACCAAAGAACATGAATACACCACCCACCTACAAGAGATACATGTAAGAAATGAGGGGGAAAGGGAGACTATAAATCAAAGACTGAAAATTGTACCAAGCAAGTGGCATCCACAAAAAGGCAGGAATAGCAATATTAATCTCTGATAAAATGGACTCCAGGATACGAACCACCATAAAAAATAAGGTTTGGCACTACGTAATGATTAAAGGCACAAAAAAATCAAGAACATTAATGCACCAAACAATAGACCTGCAAAATACATAAAACAACGGTTAACAGATTGAAGAAAGAAAAAAAACTGCAACACCAACAGTACAAGACTTTAACACATCACTCTCACCAAACAGCAGATCAACTAAAAAGAAACTCAACAAAGAATCAAAAGAAGTAAACTATGTAAAAATAGCCAACTCAACCTCACCGATCTATTGAAACTAAAACTTGCCCAATTAAAACTCAATTTACTTTCTTCTTAAGTACACATTACCATATATTAAGAGACAAAGCAAGCCTCAACAACAACAACAACAAAAAAACCCAGAGAAATAATACAAGGTATCTTTTTAGACCACAGTGCCATAAAAT